GGGGCAGGGCATGCCAGGTATTAGGGTTCAGGGTTTAGGATTTTGGGTTTAGGGTTTGGGGTTTAGGGTTAAGGGTTCAGGCTGAGGTTTTCAGGATTTGGGATTCAGAGTTTAGTCTTCAAGGTTAATGGATGTGTCCAGTTGGGAAATCACCAGCTATACGTTCCATTCTTCCTTCTTCGTGGCTGTTCCTTGAGAAAGAATGAATGGAAAAGACAAGAACCCTAAACCCTAAAACCTAACTATCTTTCTAGGGATGGTATAGGGCTGCTACGGAGATCCATTCCTCCATTTGCTGCTTGCAGCCAGCAAGCCTTTGTCTGCCTAGACATCCCTTGCAAGTCTTGATAACTCAAGCTTCCATTTGATTTTCCATTACCCCTATATATCCGTGTACAACCCCTACATAGCCCTATATAGCCCCTATATATTCCGTATCTAGCCCCTATATAACCCCTATATAACCCCCTATAGAACTCTGACTGTCAAAGCGCCCTGCTGGCAGGCTTCTTCTCACTTTACGGCCTTGCAACCTATCTCTAGATTTTGGAGCCTGAGTAACTACAGACTGGGTGGTTTTAGGGCTTAGGGCTTAGGGTTTAGGAGGTAGTTCCAAAGTGTCGGCAAAGGACTGTTGTGTTGTCGGTTTGCATGCCACTTGTACCTGGGCTCCTGATCAGAGACAGGCCATTGCCCAAGGAAGGTCCCTTAAAAGTCCCCTAAACCCTAAACCCTAAAGCTTAAACCCCTAGCGCCCGCTTTGCTTTAGCTTGTGGACACCGGGCTCGAAAGATGCAGGAAGTAAGTGAGCAAGAAGGTGAAAATAGTGTACGGGTCTAGGTAGCTTGCTTAACATCTCACCCAATTTGATTGCAAGCGCTCTGGGAAAACATTGCCGGAGCCGGCGCTTTGATGAGGCAGAAAAGTATTGCTATTGTGCTGTGTTTGTCGCCTCGGGCTAGGGTTATTGGTTCTGGGGCGTGGGCCATCATTATCAATTACGGCCTGCACCCACTTGTCTTGCCTTATGCGGGTAAGGGTACTTGTTAAATGCCCTACAACAACTACGCCGCTCTTATGAGGGGCGATTTGCGCATTTCATCTTGTGCGGAGCATGAGATAACATGAGCTTACAGCTCACTTTACTATTTGCAACCGCGAGCTCCGCAGGAAGAACTGCAAGCATAAGTGGATTCCCAGGCAGTTCTGGAACCAACCATTTCAAGTGCCTTTCGCTGTATGCTTCAGGCACCTGGAAACTGCATGGGTGCTACCATCCAACGAAACGCATGGATTAAGTTATATACTAAGATAAGGATCGGGTTTAGGGTTTACAGCATGGTGTTCTAAACTCCAGGATCATAGTCCAAGCTCGTGCAGCGAAAAACCAAGCAACAAAATAAGCTAAAGATCTTGTGATGTGCCTCTTTTCCCCTAACGACTATATGCCATGCATGAAAGGTCCGACCCTGTGAATAACCCTCTCCATCGCCTAGCGATCGACATTCTACATATGGTGCCATGTAATGGGTGGGGGCGAATTTTTACTGTAGGAGGTGGCGGAGGGGACTCTCTGGAGTTTAGGGTGCGCGTAGAGAGGAGTGGGCAGTGGTATGGTCTGCCGTAGTTCCCTCTGGGCAAAAACAAACAGTGTTTTGGGCAACCAGGCTGACCAGGCAGGGATTGAAGAACTACAGCGGCTATTGTACGACCAGAAAAGCTCAGAAGCGCCAGAGGGGAAGTTTGGAATCCGCATTTACTGTAGAGGTTCATGGCAATTTTCACCCAATCGCAGTCATGTGAGGGGACTTCGGGGTTCATAATTGGGTCATCATAGAAGGACAGTCAGAAGGTCATAAGTGCAGCGATTCCTGTTGGTTTTGGGGCCATTAAGATATCTCTCAGAATGTCATAAACTCCCAACTCCATAGCCTCAAAAAAGTTTTCGAGTCGTGGTATTATTGCAAATGGCCCTGAACTGAACAAAGACCTCAAATACTGTGTGTCACTTGTATCAGGCTCTAAACCCAATAATCCGATCCCCCGAACATTAACCCCTCCATCCCCCCTAATGCTAGATATTCCTATTGGGGTATATCATATGTTTTTTGGAAATTACCTGGGAATGTTTAGTATTAGGGGGGGGGGGGGGTTCGGAGGATGTAATGTTGGGGGGAGGGGATTAACACTTGCATAGGTTCCTAAACCTCCTAAACCTGAGGAAGCAATTCATGGGGCTATGGTTTAGGCGGTTTAGGGGTCAGGGTTTAGGAGGCCTTATCAAACTTGTGTAAGGCTTTGAACTTAAAACAATCTCAAAACCCACTGGCTTAACATCCCCACGAAACCCTCAAGCGTTCTGTAAAAAGTTATGCATGCCCCTGAAGCCCTAAACCCCTAAACTCTAGACCCTAGACCCTAAAACCTAAATTGTAGTTTGCATTTTCTTTTCCATTCTCCCTATAAAGCCCCAATAAAACCTGATATTACCCCACATTGTGGGCTGAACCCCAAACCCAGCAGCCCCAGAGGTCGGACTTGGCGGCGCTGTGGCGACAGGCCTTTGGGCCAGCAAGGGCGTCACCCACCAGGCGCTGAGAGTCTTGAAGGTCTAGGGTTTTGGGTCCAAACTTCGTATAGGGGGTTATATAGTGTTTGGGGTTTTGGGCGGAGATTTGTTTTGCACATGCAACGTAGAAGAGAACGTGAAGAGGCAAGAGACTGCATTGACTCGATTCCGGTTCAAGATTTAAATGTCGTGCATGTTAATTCTGGCATTGTCCCATATCTGCTTTCCGCGCCTGATGTCTGAAGAGCAAATATGTGCTCGAGCTCCTTGGGCCGCTGTGCCTAAGTAAGAGTTGAGCACCTCCGGTAAGGCTTTATAGGGTGTAAGAATTAGGGGTCAAGGATTTTCAAAGTGTATTAGCGGCTGTACAGAATCGGACTTTGTTGAAGAAACATTTGACGACCTTCCGCCTGGCTTGGGGGCGTAAGCACTCAGGGCATCACTAATTGGGGGCTTCAGAGAATAGTCGGCATAAACAATGGAGGCCCAAGAGTGCAGTAGGTGATTGTTCCTGCTAACAACATCATGAAACAAGTACTTACATTCCTACTACGTCCCTACTAGTTCTCTCTTGTGTAGCTAAGGTGCTCGATTCAGAGGCTTGTTTTCCTTGCGGAGAGTTTTGGGCATAGGTATAGTGGCCTCATAGGTGTTGCCGTGGCTTTGCAAGCTAGAATTCTGGAACCTGTGGCTTTTGGGGAGTTGTAGTTTCCTCTTTTCTCTTTGTTGTGCAAATTCAAGTTTTCCGGGGAGTATTTCTGTGTGGGATAGGTAAATAAACTGTAATGCAAGGCCTGAAAACTTCGCCAACAGAATATGACTTCCAGTACATGCTACATTGGCTACATGCTACACATGAAACCATGTAAAGCTTCCAGAGAATGTGTGACCTTGATATCAAGCCCTTTGTGGAGGTTTTTGGCTGCTTTGGCACCTAGCTTCCGTGGCGAGCGTGGCTCCCAGAGTGTCGCAGGTCGTAGTTTGCCGGAAATGTCAGACGTCATATGAGCAGTCGTCACGACTTACGTGAAGGCGATTATGCAAGACTTGAACATAGGACACAAAATGGGCCCAACACCTTCTTGAGCGATGGGAACCCCTGCAAAACGACAGCTCCCAATATCAACGCTAGGGCCCTGTAAAGCGATGGGGAAGCCTGAAAGGCATTATTACGACCAGAGGCAGCCATCAAGATTAGACAGACACTCACATCCTGGCGTGTCCAAAAAGGGAGTGTAGAGGAATCCTTTGAAAAACGGCCTTAGATGCTTGGAACACCTTTTTCTTGTCCTTACTAGCCATTTGCATGTGTAGAAGAAGCCCAAGTCCCTCACACTCCGGGTGATTTCTTTCCATTTGGGAAGATTACGCTTATGACACGTTCTTTCACTTTTCTAAAAGCTGGAGTAACCGTACGAAGCGAGTTGCTCGCAAGTTGAAGGCTTTTCTAAGCTTGTCATAAGACCACTTGTATTCAGTGTATGCAGTTCAGGAAGAGCCCTAGGCAGAGTTTGTATCACAGTTGTATCATTTGGATAATGTACCAGTAGCCCTAAGCGGCACACCGAGAACTTACAGCTAGATATCATGTGTGAAAGATGGAGCCGAGACGAGCTAGCCTAGAGCTGCAAAGGAGGTTTTCCACAATTTGAGGTCCTTTGTGCCCTGTACCCATAATGAGGCATATGGCTTCTCACGGTACACAATAGCTTTGGCAATGTCCAGATCAGGTACTAGGCGTTTCTAGAAAACCAAGTAGTAGCGTCACAGTTTTTTAAGGGTATGCAACGGTAACCCCTCATGTCAGACATGTCCAGATCAGCGAAGCCCTGATCCCTAAACCTTTTATCCACTTAAAACCAACGCCCAAGTCGGAAAGCAAGGAGTCCTTTGTCTGGACTCTCATTTTCCCCCCCTCCCAATACGTACCCCTCTACACGGTATGACTGTATTAGGTGGAAAACTCACGATTAGGGGCGGCGGGTTTTTTCGTCAGGCAGAAGCAGCAAAGGGTTTTGAACTTGGAGCTTGGGGCCAGCAGACATCATATGTTTCGCGATGAGTGGAAACAGATTGCTCACAGCTTAGCTCGCAGCGAGCTAAGACTTCTTTCCAGTCGCATGGAGGTAAAAAAGGGCTTGGAACGAAAGAAAGTAATGAGGTAGTACTTCTTTGGGTTTACGGTGCGAAGTATGCAATTGTCATATACTTCCCAGAACCTCGAGTAACTTTTTCCATTATAAGGATGCCAAGATATATGCTTGCCGTATACATGCACTTGAGGGTGCCTTTAGACTGCTTCTATCATCATTGTTAGGAGTCTTACTCTGAGGGCGCCTGTTTTGTGTGCGAGTCTGAATGTTCCCTCCTTGGCAGCATCACGGCTCGAAAAATCCCCCGAGCTGTGGGTCCTTATCTCATTAATGTGAACATGTCCGCGGTAGTTGCAAAGCTGTGGCTACTTGCGTTGAGTATCTATTCTGTGGCCTGTGCAGAGGAATCCTGTGAATCTTGCGCGACGAACCTAATTCAGAAAAAGGCCTTGGCACGGTTTTCGGAGACCAGGTCGGTTTCAAACAAGTCCCATATAGGTGGGAGCTTCTCAAAAAGTATTCCCTGTAAAGTCCTTACGGGGGCCGCAAGGCATACTGGCTTTTGTGCATGTACCCAGGATCAGAAAAGCCCAAAGCCCTAGGTACCAATCCGTGGGATGTCTACGACTACTTGGCAGCCGTGCACCACAAGTCTGGGATTTACTTTCTGCACAAGATTGCTGTTTACATGTTCTCAACCCTGCAAATTCGTGACGAAGACGTGGGCACTATCATCACGCCTTGCTACACTGTATGCGCAAACACCCAAGCTCCAGTCCTGTTCATGATTGACATGGCTGGACCAGAAACTTGCCTGCCCAGTCAGTAAACATTCACCTGTTTTGGGTTAGTATGGTAACGCCCAAAATAAACCAAAAGCCAGCTTTTCCGCAGAGTCCTAGATCCTGGACCTAGATAGCAAAACACCTAAGTTATATCATTATAACCAGGTTATAACCAAGATTCCCGTTTGGTTGCTACTATGAATCTCATTGGTGTTTCGTGACATCCCTGCCTAGCACCGGACATCTTAGGAAACCATCCAGCGCAAACGCGAGGCCGCCAAAGCTAAGGGCAAAGGCTGGCGGGTGGCATGTTGGGCTAATTCCTCCTTCTCCCTGTTGTTATATATTCATCACCATAAACCCTAGACCCTAACAAGGGAATATAGTCATCGAAAAGTATTTTTGGGTGCCTTTGAAGTACTACCCAGGCCTGAAAGTGTATGGCACTGTGCGAGATCCAGTTACCATGGTAGCCTCTGCCTACTGCTACCATAGCCGTGGCGAAGCTGGCTTGCGGTTATTAAGGGTTTAGGGTTTAGGGTATTCAAAACCCTTAACTTGGGGCTAAAGGGTTTAGGGTTTGGTTTAGGCATAATCTTCACTCAAGTTTACTAAACCTTGAAACAGGCTCGTTAGCAGGGACCCTTAGAGGAGACCCCCTAATCCCATGACCTTATGTACCCCATATATAGTGCTTATATATGCCCCTATATATCTTGGTAGTCCCCATATTGGGTATAGGTTTAGTGGTTAGGGCCACTAGATGTGGTTGACGTAAGTTGATGATGTGGATAACATATTAAGCCACGTGGTTGTCCCATGTTCGCTACGTTTCAAAGCTTTCTCCAATCCCTACGCAGCATGTGTATAATCCAGATTCGATGTCATTTTCCTTCGCCTTTTCCACTTGATTCTGCACTTTGGGACAGTCGTTTTAGTATCCCCCAAACCGCTAAAACCCTAAACCCTACACCGTAAAAGCAGCAGCCCAGGAAGAGGCCCTCAACGTGATGTTCCTTCCTCCGGGTTGGCCTGAAGTTACTATGCAGACCATGGCAATGCAGGATGGGGTGACCTTTGCCGCAAGGCAATTGGGTAAATCAATCCCCCCGACGAAAACCCCACCCATCTGATGCTGCCTCGTGTGGTCTACTAATATGCTGGGAATGTTTGAAATTAGGGGGGGTTTGATAGTAGGGGAATACAGGAGAGAGGGAGTGAGAGAAAGACAGATCGCTTGGGTAATTCAAGTTGCTATTGGGAAATCATCCAGTACGGCCGAAATTTCGGCTTGTGGATTAGTATGCTTTGCCCAGAAGGCAAATGATGCCGATGGTTGCAAACATGACCTCCTTGTACGAGAAGCCAGACAAGGACACCTACCGGTTCGATTATGAGAGGGCAACAGCGTCCTCAGAGAACTTCGATGAGATGGTTTCTAACATGCTAGATGTGCTGTTTGGGACCATGATCTCCCCAGACCAGAAGAGCAAATGCTTGGAGGCAGCAGCATGGGCAGATTTGAGGCGTCACCCTGATGAAACGGATGAGCACACAAATAACGAAGATTGCGAAGCTGAAGCCCGGCAGGTTTTTTTAGACTCGGCGCCAGCCGATATGCTGGCAGCATACAGAGACTTCCAGCGACGGCTGGGCTACCCCATGGGCTAGAAGAGTCGTGCTGTGTGTCTTCTCCCGAGTCTTCTCCGAAGGCTTTTGGAGCTTTTGAGATTCTCGAGCTTCTGTTGACCAGTCATGCTTGACCAGAGCTAGATGATGCATAGGCGGCTGATGGCCACATGGCCTGAAACCCACATAAAAATCAAGAAGATCACAACAATTTCTACCTCACAGTTTCATTGTTCACATAACAACAAATTACTTCCCACATCGGGACCCGGTATCTTTCTCAGTCGTATCAAGAGCCAGGAGCGGGGCAGATCTGCAACTGCAAGAAAAAACCTGATGCGTCCTGCACATGTTTCAGTATAACTTCGCCTAGTTGGGACTGGGTGAAACCCTAAAGCCCGCGTATCCCAATTGAGTCCTAAGTTTCCATATCCCTTATATGCTCATATGTCTCTACATATCCCCTGATGGGATTGACGGGTTGTTATCAGGGTCATTTCTGGAACTAATCTGTCGAGCGGCTTTAGGGGCTGACTTGTCGAGGGGCACAGGAATCATTTATCAACACCCATGCATGTCAGCCATAGTCTAATAAACTCCTTAAAGGGAACTATTTAGGGGAGTATTATAGGGGTTATTAAGGGGGATGTTGGGAGTTTACATTATAGCTGATGTAAAAATTCTGGTGGATGGGTGTTTTGGTAAGGAAGTTGCCTGCGTACAGTTAAATGCTTCCTAGGGTTCCTAAGAGCAAGCAAGTCAAGTTATGGCTGCTCTCAATTTTATTGTCGGCGCCATGCGCCTCGGCCTAATATGTTGGGAACCCTAATATAACCCCAATATAATCCTAATATGACCTTAATTTTGCCCTAATATATTATTTGCGCAGATTCGTAAGGTCCGTAGGATCAGTACTTGGAGTTAGTTGCGGACCTGTCGGGTCCATGCAGAGCATTTGAATGTTAGAGTCTGTTATCCAGCCTTCTGGTCTAACCCGGACCCCTGATTAATAAACCCCCTTCCTTTAATGAGAATTATAATGGGGATCCTTAAAAGGAGGGGTGTATCAATCACGGCTCTACACCAATCTTTGTAATTAATTGCTTCTGGACAGGCTCTCTAAAGACTGCGTGGCCCGCGGTTTAGATGCAGTCATGTTCGGGGTCCGGTGATTACAAAACGCTATGCAGAACTGTATAGTCATATGACAAGGTCGACGCAGGGCGATTACCTCCTTCCATGATGACCTGGTACCCGATATGTCAACCTGTGACCCCTCAGCCCATAATCCCCAAAGTCTGAAAACAGACGACCTTTTGCAGCCTTTTCCTCTAAACAGGGATGCTGTGATTCTTCCAGGGATCAGGGCTGAACCTTAAACCATACATCCTGACCGATCTTGCCTGTCATATCTACCTTGTTAGTTACTACCATAGGAATGGTCCTAGAAGACGTTCAGGGATTAGGTTTAAGGGTTTAGGGCCTCCTGGGAGCCCAATACCTTAGTTAAGGTACATACCTTTGGGATCCTCAGCCCCATGTCCCCTGTCATCAAGGCTTTCAGGCTTGTACCCCAAGGTTTTTTTTTTGCCGTGGGCTTTGGGATCCTAGGGGTTTTAGAGGACCACACCTCGGGGTACGGCTTTCGGGGTACAACCCCCTTGCTTTCATATTCCTTTATATAACCCCATGTATTCCTAATTTGAGGAAGATACCTGGAATCCTGGAATTATATGAGCGGTCCTACCCAATTGCCATGACCCTAACTAAACCCTACACTTGGTCTACGGGTTTAGGGTTTAGGGTTGGCCCTACACCCCAAACTCTAAACCTTAAATTGACACCCGAAACCCCAAACCCTGACCCCTAGTCCCTGAACGCCCTTGAGGGAGCTGCCGCGGTCGCAGCTTTTGCAGGGCTTCGCTGGAGTCTTGGTGGGGCTTCTTCAGCTGGATGTTTCCGAAAACCAGGAATAAGGAATGCTCTTTTGGCAGAGTTTCTATATTAAAGATTATGGTGTTTTTGGGTTTGTATTGGGCTCCCTTATTTCTGGAAACTGCCAGCTTTTTCTGGGTAGTCTAAACTCCTTAAAAAGGGATTATATAGGGAATGATATAGTAGAACATTATAGGGCTTATTAAGGGCGATACCAGCAGTTTAGACTATAGCTTATGTGGAGGGACAGCAGTAGCAGCACGGATCGTATATGAATGTATAGGAAAAAAAGGACACCAATATTGGTATGTAACAGCCTGGCATCCAAAGAATTCTCTCCTGCTAGTTCATAGGTAATCCTAGTATAGTATACCCCAACACATTCACCCAATGATAAGGACCGTGTAACCTGCACATGTCCTTCTATGTCTATACCCCTAAATGAGCTGCAGTGCTAACTTTATGTTTGTGTTTGCCTGGACACTATCCCTGCCGCAGGTCCCGACCCAAACCCTGAACGCCCGAACCCAAAACTTTGTAAATTCAAAGCCTTAAGCCCTGAACCAGAAGCCAAAGAACCATAGCTTCACACGCCCTCAATTTACGACCTTTAACCCCACAAGCATGGGTTCCTTTGCGGTAGTAGGGGAACCTAGAATCCTTATAAGCTACCCCATAGCCACGGTTTTCATGTCATGTTCCATTCGATGAGTTTTGAGATAACATCCCTGGCCCTAGACCCTATACAATTCTTATATACCGCTGTAGAAGTGCCTAGGATGTTGAAGCCCTAAACCCTATAGTCCCCCTTAAATAGATAGAATATGGCTTTGGGTCTATTATAATGAGATCCCCATATGCCCCATATTCTATCTACTTAAGGGGGACTATAAACCCAAGCCTTCAGGCATCCTGTGCCCCACGTGTGACGTTCCGGGACTGGTCCAACGCTGTATCTCGACGAACAAGATTAACTTGCCCATGGTACATAGAGGTTTTGGGTTGGGGTTTAGGGTTTAGCGCTTCGGTGAGTGGAGGATATCTTGCACCACTTAGGACCCCAGAGATTCTACAATTATTGCCTAGAGTACATAACGTGGTGCAGGATTTTGCTGGCAGCTAGTAGGGAATAAGGGAAGATCATCTCTGTGTAGAATTTTCCCTGATGCCCTGCGTACTGACTCCCAGTATGTATAGGTATGGAAAGTTCGCCACCCCAGACCCAGTTCTAGTACTTGCTCCAGAAAAAGAGACTCTAAGGGGATCAGTGCAATTGAGGCTCGGTCTGAGAATTTTTAGCGCTTACGGTTTTCAACGGAGGGACCACCAGGAATATGCTTCTTCAAGGGTAGCTCTGAGCTTTTGACCAAAAGGGAACCTACATGATGACCATGTTGGGGATTGGCATGCTGAACAACTGCCATTGTTCCCTACGTTATCCTTAGGTTGCTTTTAGAATACACCTGGAACCCTTGAGGACCCTAAGCCATGACAGACATCAAGGTCGTGTGTGCCTAGATCTCCGAGTGTGTGGGGTGAAGGACTACTTGGAAGATGAGAGGGGCTGAGTAAGTATCCTTATAAGCCTTTATAAGTAAGCCCAGATGTCCCCATATGAACCTTTCGGTAAGTCCTTCTGCCCCTCCAAGTGCTGGTAGGCGGACGAGGAAGCAGTCAAGCCCGAGCGTTTGAATATTCTGTTAGCGATTTGTTTTGTGAAACATGCAGGCAAATGATAGAGACTACGTTGGGGAGGGGCACAGAGGGCACAAAGAGATGCTAAAAGCTATGCGCCAAGAACCCCTCCATAAAAGCCATCTCTGCTTCTTGAGGTAGTTTCCCAAAATAGGGGTGCCCCAATTATAATCCTGAATATGGGGACCCCCAAAAGGGTACCCCTAGAACTGGGAAACTCCTTGGAGTCGCCAGCAGCAACCAAGGTGCTGCTAGCGTACGAGAGGCACTTTGCACTTCATGTCGCGGTTGTTTTCGCAAGGATGTAGCTGTGGTGTTTTACGCCGGCTAACCTTCATGGTGGATGTCCTTATTTCCGAGAGCAGGGGTTGGCAATCCATCTGAAAACCTGGCCGCTAAGGTATGCTTCAGCACTGCCTGGCACAATAAGCGAGTTTTGCTTGCCCCAATCTCCGAAATATGAAAACGATACTATCCTATAGTTCTCTTCTAGGGTCCTTATTATGGGGGTTGAGGTTTTCAGAAATCCCCCCACTATAACACAATCGGGGAAGCTGTGCGATGGGAGCATTAGGATATTCGGCGTTGATTGTTGGATCTTTGGATTGGGTGCCCGCTAACAGCTGCAAGCATTCACGTCCCCAACAAAAAGGTTCCAAACCTTCCATCCTGAAGATGGGCCTCCACGCAGTGTCTAGTCACAACCCCTATTTTACGCCATCTAAGAATCCCCGTTATCCCCGCTATGAACCTACTTACTACGTCCGCTCTACCCTAAGGCCTAAAACCTAAGTAGAATGTAGTGCTCATCCTATGTTCCATTACTACTCTACTTTCAACGTTCTCCACAAGACCCTTCCAGGTACCTCGCAGTCAAGATTATGGGGGGGCCCCAAACGAAGACTATTAGGGTTCATTGGGGGGGGGTGGACGGGTTGGGGCTTGGGGGGCCATTGGGGGGCCATATTGGCCCTATGATAAGACGCTTGCTCCAAACCCTCAATCCCGTCCTCAAAGGGTTTGGGGTTGGGGTTTAGGTTGTTTAGTGTTGGGGAATGTAGGGGAAAGGGCAAATTATAAAACCCCCCACCCCCTGATGATGATTACACCACCCGCAATGCATTACTCATTGGGGTGATTGGTTATCATCAGGGTGTGGGGGGTAATAAGTGGCAGGTGGGAGGGGATTACTTCATAGCATCGTACAAGTTGCACCCCGTTTGCACCTTCAACACGAACCCGGGGGAGACCTTACACTGACAAAGCGCCTGAACCTCATGCGCTCGAACCTCTGAACCCTTAAAGCCGCAACCTAGGCGTATTGGTTACTAAGTTTGGCTTTTCACGGCAATTATCAAAGAGATCCTGAAAGACTTGGTCTTTTGATACCTTCTGAAAAACGCTAAAAGACT